ACACTAGTATCCACTGACTTTCATTGGGCCTCATTCATGAAACACAGTTGTTGTTGTTTTTTTTGTATTGCATTACATAAATTGTTGCACGATGCAACATGTTACATTACCACAAGACATTCTTCATCATGTGACAGTATGCATAGAGATTTGTTCTGCTTGTGTTTCAAGAAAATGAGGACTTCTAATGAAAAACAGGAGTCATGAATTTCTGCCAAACAGATCAAGTCATACAGATTTGTGTTGACATGAATAAATGGTAAGTCAATGATGACAGAATTAGCATTTTTGGGTGAAATACCGCTTTAAATTAAATGTTCAAATTAACAATTAGGATAATATGTTGGTATGTCTGTTTTTTGTTGTTGTTGTTGTTCTTGCATGATAATAATCACATATTTTCAGATCACGTGATCAAATCGGCATTTGAATCATATGGTAAATTTGAGATGAATTCTCTCTTTTGTTTTTGAAAGGCCATTGTGAAGAGATTTAGTCTTTGACACGGTAATGAAATGTTTATTTAGCGAGTGCAGAGCCCACCCTTCGCTCAATGACATCACACAGAAAGACCTTTCACTGTCCATCTCTTTCTTTTTTTAGCTCTTCTTTCTCATTCCTTTCTTCTCTTTTACTTTCCATTCCCTCTCTCAGCAAAACTCTTCCTTCCTTCCTCATCTCTGCTTTATTACTTCACTCCAGGCCTCTCATTCCCTCTATCTGTTTTTTCTGCCCTCTCTATTTCTGGAGGCTGTGTGTGTGTGTGTGTGTGTGTGTGTTTTAAACAGTGGCGTCTTTCACTGTGCTACAGCGTAACGGTGTCACACCCCCAGAAAGCCCCTTCGCTCCACTCCTCCATTTCACTTCCTCTCCTCCTCTTCTCTCAGTTCCCCGCTCCTCACACACACACACACACACACACACAAATGAAAAAGTACACATAACTACAGTTTATCATTCCTCCAAATAGAATGTTGTACAACCAATAACATTCCTGAGATATCTAACCCATAATAAAACACACACAGTCTAGTTTACACATCCAGAACAAGATATTTACACTGATCATGGAGAACAAAACTGCTTGCAGAACTGAAATAAATCAATGTTCATGCACAAAGAAATAGTTTTAGGTGACTCTGTGCATCTGTTCTGAGGTTTTCACCTACAGTGGGTTAGATGCCGTTTTCTTTCCATTAGAAATAGGGGCCATTCAAATAAGAATGTGTTTTTGCTTTGAAAATGCACAACATGGGCAGTGGAATGGGGATAAAACATGAGGTCTCAAAATGCACTTTTAAAGTTTAACAGCTTTTAACTTGCAAAATCACCACGGTCAAACGCGTCCATCCAGTGCAGGTTTACATCGAATAACAATGGAAAATCAATGTAGTGCAATGCAAAAACACATTCTGTGTGAGCGGCCCCATAATATATAAATATATCATTCAAATGAGTCAATATGACTTTCTCGAGTCAAGTTAAATGATTATAAAATATTTGTATATAGCACTTTTCACAATACATATTGTTTCAAAGCAAAGCTTTACAGAAAATCATGATGATAATGTTTATAATATATTATGCCTTATGGGCACATCTAGCAGATTAGAGCTGAGTGATAATAGAGTTTACATTTTGCAATGATACAAGCAATCAAGCAGTTTTGATTGGCTATATTTACTATATATGATTTAATAGATTTGCTACAGTATTGAAAGTCCTATGTGTGTCACCATCATGGACTTTTAGTTTGTTGTCTTCCCTCTTGTTTCCCTAGTTTTCCATCGTGTTGATTATGTCATTATGTTCAGGTGTGTCTTGTTAATTATCTTCATTTGTCTGTGTACTTAAGTTCCTGTCTGTTCAGTTTAGTTTGTCGGGTCTCGTCTATGTTTTCACGTGTGCTAAGCCTTCCTCTTGTGGATTAAACTTCTGTGTGGATAATTACAGATTATTTTACCTTCATCATCTTCGTGAGTGCACAAATGTTTTCATAAAAATCTGACTGTGCTGACAAAGTGGAAACAGCTGTAAAAAAGGTATTTTTAAAATGAACTTCCTTCTATCAGGACATTCTTTAAATATTTATATTTATATTTTCTTGAGTCTAATCATAGTTAAATCTATCATATTAAGGAAAAACAACAGAAAGTGTGTACGAGAGAGAGAAAGCGAGAGCAAAGGATGGTCATCAAGTTCTCTCGTGTTCAGAAGCTCCACTTGCAGTCAAAACATGCGAGGTTGTCTTTCTGTGCCCAGTAATCTCAATCTCACCGTCCCCTCAACACACACTTCAAACACTAACGATAAAGACACACACACTGCTATGTATAGCCAAACAGCCCTCAAAGGGGCTAATGATAACTTTTCCCGGGTTCCACCTCCATCTGTGGCATTTCAATGCCTGGCTACAAACCCAAGTACTCAGTTATGTGTTGCTGAAAAACTCTAAGCAACCACCATAAAAAAACCTCAATGGCAAAAAAAATAAAAAAAGGCAATGGCTGACTGTGTCATGAGACTGATCACTTGTGACATATATGTTATTTGCAAAGAGCTTTTACACAGCAATTATAATCTAGCTCCATTGTGTTACATTGCAGATCTCACTTGCAGTGAACACAAGGAGTGAGAGATGTTGTAACTACAGCAAGAACAACGCCGATGCTGTGTTATGACAGAAACTATTGTGAAATGTTTAGCCTAAACGCTTAGGTAAGGGCGAGAGACAAGATATGTTGTAATGCATCTGAAGGAATCCCTTGCCTCAGGGGTTTTTGGCCCATAGACACCACTGCTTAAATCCCTTGTGAAAAGAAGTTCATTTTAGCATACTTTCAAACAGAGTACTCAAAAATGTACTTTAAAAGAATATGCTAAATTGTGAGCTGAATGTCACGTTTTCAGATACATAACACAAACACTGCTGCATGTTTAGATGTATCTTTGAGAGCTCAAATGCTGCCCTGGGCCGCTGGAGCGGCTCAGAGATGTATAATATAACTACCGCTCAGGCTGATCCTGGAAAGCTGGATTAAAGGGAACTGCGTGATTTATGATTTGCAAAGAATAAGCAAGTTGAAGGAAAAGACTGTTGTGGAGTTTCTGAGAGACGGAGAGGAGAGATGGATGGAGAACCGGCTCCTGGAATAAGGTGAAATCCATCCCTTTGACATGTAGAACACACTTTGGGATGAAAGTGTGATGAAATCTTTCAGAAAATCAGTGGTAATTACTAGTGGAAGCACTTTCACCAAACTGTGGTTAAGTCTGGGAGGTTGATATAAAGCAAAAGAGCTTCTCAAGTGATGTAATATGGGACTTTCCAATGGGAACATTTAGCCATAATCAGTGCAAGTGACACGGTGTCACTCTAGACCAGCCAGCATATTTACAGGGACAGTTCACCCAAAAATGAAAATGTGCTGTTAATTTACTCAACCTCAGGCCATCCAAGACATAGGTGGCTTTTAGTGTAACAGTAAAGAAGATTTTTAGCTGAAACTGTGGTCCTTGGTGATTCATAGAATGCAGAATTGAGTAAAAAAAGCATAAAGCATAAACAGGCAAGACAAAATTAATACTCATGGCTCCTGACAATACATTGAGGTCTTATGAAGAGAAACGATCAGTCTGTGCAAGAAACTGAACATTATTTACAACATTATGACTTGTAATCCAGAGCCTTGGGCAAACGGTCCAGATAGTGCTATCCGATTCACGAACTAATCATTCTTTTGAACTGGTCAAAACACCAGCGTATATGATCGTATGATGAATGAACTCATTCAACGCTCCAGTTCCTCCGACTCCGACCAAAGACAAGATGAGCCGGTGATACAAGCATGCTTTATATGCTTTAGTCATCTGCATTTTACATCTTTATGGCATAATATAACAATATAATTGTGTATACGTGACGTGATTATGTAAACCAAATGGTGAATCGGTTATTTGAACCTATTAATTGAATCAAACTGTGTTAAATAACCAGTTCTCAGAAAATAATCAGATTTCCCCGTTTGCCTGGGGCATTACAGGTCATAATATCGAAAATAATGTTGAGCTTCTTGCAAAAAAAACAAACGTTTCACTTAATAAGGCCTCAATATATTGTCAGGAGCCATGGATATTAATTTTGTGTTGCCTGAAATGCTTTTTTTACTCAAAATGTAAAAACTTAAATTTTTTTGTTACATTTTAACATTTTAGCTTACATTTGATGAATTCAAAACGTAATAATCACTTTAATGTAGCTTGCGCTCACTGTTGTACATGGAAGCAGTTCCGGGCGGATGACGTATGAGGTCAGCGTTGCGCATGCGCCACTCAGAAGTGAAGCACGCGGAAATGCAGCGGAGAGATCGAAACAAAACAACGGTCACTTATTAGAAGTACAAAATGAGGATTTGTAAAGAAGAATGTCAGAGGATTTCGATATAAGCCAAGAGGAGACTGGTTTTCCTTTGCTTCCTTTGCTCCTGTAAACAAACGTTGGTTTTCACGAGACTCACCGGCGCATGCGCAACGCCGACCTCGTACATCATCCTCTCGGAACTGCTACTGTGTATAACTGCTGGTGCAAGCTACATTTAAGTGATTATTACGTTTTGAATATTGATATTTTTCTTACAAAAATGAATCGATTCGCTACAGAAGGCCTTTGTTCACCCCCCGGAGCCATGTGAGACACTTTGTTTTATGGATGGGCGCTTTTTATTTAACTTCTTTTGGACTGATGCATGCAACCCCCGCTGAGTGGCATTAAACAGCTTGAAAGATCAAAGACAATTTTTTATATAACTCCGACTGGATTCGTCTGAAAGAAGAAAGTCATATACACCTAGGATGACTTGAGGGGGAGTAATTTATGGACTAATTTTCATTTTTGGGTGAACTAACCCTTTAACGTTAAAAAAGAACCACCAGCAACAGAAATCAAAAGCCCAGATGCTGCATTTCTTATATGCAGCATCTTAGCATATTCCTGGACTCACCTGTAGGCTGCACCTGCGGTACTCTCTGTCCAGTCCAGAGCATCTGTAGTTGTTGGCGGCCGCTGGAGGCCTCCGGTCCCTCTCGGCTTCATTTCTGGAGGGCTGGACAGCGTTCTGCAGGACCCAGGGCTCAGGGTTTGGGTTTGTGGGAGTCTGGAGGCCGTAAGGAGGAGGCTCTCTGGGAGTGTGCGATCGGTGGATAGAGTGCATGTAGGAGTGTGGGACTTGGCGAGAAGAGCGGCCCACGTGTCTCTGGGTCAGGGGCTGTGAATGTGAGATTCGCTCGTGTTCCCGTACTCTCTCCACACGTCTGTGCGGCTCTCCATCACTTGTTCTCTCGGCTGCCACATCACTCTCCACATATGCTGCCTCCGTCTCCTTTTCCTTCTCTTTTCGTTCTCTATCAACAGTGTCTGTAATAATTAGTCCCTCTTCTCCCTGTGTTTTGTCCACATGTGTGCTGGAGTTCACACTGAGAGCCTCGAGACTGTCTGTGATGGTGGTGTTGTGGCGGCGTGTGTGTCGCGCATGACGGTTTTGTCTGTGTAAGGGAAGAGAGAATGGCACCCTGCCGTACCCAAACTGTCCAGGACGAATAGAAGAACTAGACCTGGTGTGACAGGGAGAGAGAATAACATGTATGAGTATGCTGGAAACAGGCCTGTAGGACAAATATAGTATTTTTGAATAGAACTGCGCAAAGATGAACATGTTAGACATCAAGATATCAAAGCCAAAAGTAATACAAATCCCATTAAAGCTGATGTTGATAAAGGGTGTGTGAAAACCACTATTTCAAATAAATGCTGTTCTTTTGAACTGCCTATTCATCAAAAAATCCTGAAAAATAAAATGCATCACAGTTTCCACAAAAATATTGTGCAGCACAACTGTTTTTAACATTGATAATAATCAGAAATGTTTGTTGAGCAACAAATCAGCATATTAGAATGATTTCTGAAGATCATGTGACACTAAAGACTGCAGTAATGATGCTGAAAATTCAGCTGCGCATCACAGCAATTTTTTTTTATTCTAATAATGCTTCACAAAATTTCTGAATTGTCTTTGTGATCAGAAGAGATTTCAAAAACATTACCAAATCTGGCCACCAAAATCCCTGTATCATGACCTTCATGTGCACTTAAGCACAGCATGTGTAGTAAAATGACAAAGCATCGCCACCTGACTTGGAAGCACGCAGCACATTCAGATTATATATTTATTTAAATCACCTTTTGTTGGACATATTGCAATATATATATCATGCAACCCTAGCTATGAATGAGCTATGCTTATATGAACAGATAGGTCCTCCCTAAAGGCAACCAGTCCTGCTCACCTTCTTATAGACGCTGGATCCCTGTTGTTGGAAACCGACCTCCTGCTCCCACTGCCTACAACTCTGCCGTGATTGGGTGACCGTGCGGGAACTCTCCCGTACGGAAGTGAAGCTGATGAGGAAGGTGAACGGTAGACTGAAGCTGTCTCCTGATTGGGTGGGCCGAACTGCACTGGCCCAGCACCACCGGCTTCGTTTCGGTAGAGCGGTAAGCCAGGATTGGGATTGGCTGGGAGAGGCGGAGAAAAGTAAGGAGGCCTCTCAGCGCCCCCTGCTCCATATGGAGGGGGCTCGTTGACAGGATACAAGGAGTTGTAGTAGGGTCTGACCGCAGAGATCACAGGGGTGTTGTTCGGGACACCCAGTCTGTTCCACATAAGTGGCGGGGTTTGGGGCGGCGGCATACACTGTCTCTGCCTCTCGGACACGCCCACTCCACAGCTCTGAGAACACTCCACCCACTCGCTCCATGGACCCCACACCCCTTCAAGCGCCTCCTCCTCTGCCTGACGAGACTGTCGTCCTGCCGCCTGTCAAAGGAAGGCCTCATAATTATATAAAGTAAGTAAATATGCCACATATCTGCATATTTAAGTTTCAGACTCAGACCTAAATATATATATATTTCTGTCATGACATCTCTCGGAGGGATTGGGATGGTAATGTACATGACAATGTTAATGTATTTGGTCTTTGCGGAATAGATCTGCTACGCTGCTGCTGCTCCTGCGGCAGAGCAAGTACCGAGACTTACTACTGCCAATACATCCACAACATGCTGCTGTGAGCATGTAAGAAATATTGCTGCTGCAAATATAACATACATGAAATAACCCCCATATAGCATACATGAATCTCCTCGTAGCAGATCTATACAGGTGGAGCTGGGGAAGGTGGAGAGTTTCTGAAGCAAGCTGTAACTGCTACAGTAAGCACTAGTCATATATTTGAATGTTGAGCAGCGAGCTCATTGGCTACCGATACAGGAGAGAACCAATCAGCTGTGCCATGTGATAATGATGTCAATAGGTCAGATTGAGTTAGACCTATCGGACTGCGACATCTAGAGTTTCATGCCAGAACTCTCTCTCTCTCTCTCTCTCTATATATATATATATTCCACATGCACAGCTGTAAACAAACATCTCAGAAAACTGCAAAACTAGCCGGGGTGCTTAAGCTGAAACTGAAACCTAATCACCAGCCGTAATTACAATTATTTAAGAAGTCTGATCAATATCAAATTACATAGTACAAATCACAAGATTAAAGAAGCAAAGCATGAACAATTGTTTTGAAAAAAAAAACACAAAAAAAAAACAGAATAATTCCCCAAACCACACCCAACATTATGCAAGTTGAAACACATGTCCTGTTCTATCGTGCTCAGTGATGAATGACATTATGACTAAGAAAGAGGCATAATTAAACGAATGGCGTGTGCTGCATTCAGGAAGAGGCTGGACTCTGGAGTTCAGCCCAGTGCAATGACATTCTTTACAGTGCTGGACGCAGATTTGATCTAATTCCAGTTACTTATATAACCTCATTTCATCAATCAGGAGTGAAGAATTCGAGCGTCTGCAGGGCAGGCAGAGGTAGAAGGGAAGAAAGCAACAAACAAAAGAATCCATTGAGTTCACAAAATAGAGAGGAAAAAAAAATACAAGAGAACAAGGCCTGTAATGCACCTCTGATCCTGTCTAAACTGCCAACAAGGTCACACAACGCCGGCCTGTGTCTGCACTGATGTGTGTGTGTGTGTGTGTGTGTGGATGGACGGATAGATAGACAGACAGACAGATTGTTTTTGGAGCTGCATTAGCTGCAGTAGCCAGTATAATCAGTGTGTGTGTCTGTTATAACATCTAGCATGCCGCAATGTTTGAAATGCAAGGAAAAACAACAAACTCATTTCTAGTTTTCTATGGCATTTGTCTCGAAGTATTTCTACAATAAACTGTTGTTGAAATAAAGCAGAACAGTGAGCAAACTACACACGCACATCAAACTGCTAGCGAGAGTCTGCCACTGCAGCTCCTCCTGTAGCTCTGGTGGTCTTCACCCTGTGTGTGTGTGTGTGTGTTCGCTTACTCTGAACATGTGCATAACTGCTCACTTGTTTACATGCGAGTGGAATTTTTTCACACCAACGCCCAATCACAGCCACATCTCACATGCTCCCAAAGGACAACCCCACATCAGAGGCCAGATGACCAAACAATGGAAAGATCAGCTCTGATTTAATGGTCAGATCCAGCACTGGCCGCAGGGGTCGACAACGTTTATCTGCGCTTCTCTCAGAGCCACAGAAGACCCATTCAGCTTCAGCCGGTCAGATGAGACTCACAAACATATGGCAACACTCTGACAAGCACTTCTCTCTAATTACTATCAGAGAGAAGTGCAAATGATGTGACGTCTCTTTAGACACACAGCTCTGCTGTCAAATGTAAAATCATCATCTTTATCATCACTCACCGGCTTCTCTGCTTCCTCAGCTGTTGTTAAGTGCAGGACAGCAAACACACAACACCAAAACGCACACAATCTGTGAGCAAGAGTAGAAACACATATGAAGAAGAGTAACATTTCAACTTGATCATGTTGTGACATTAAAAGATACTGTGATAATGAGACACTATTTTAACACATGATGAGCACTGAAAATGATAGTGTCTGATGGGGTCAACGAGAGGCTGGTTAGATTAACCTCTGGACGATTAGGAAAATACTTCCAATACTTCCCAATGGCTTTCCCAGAATTCCTCCTGACAGGCCGTTCCCCACCCTGCCCGGCTCCTATTGGAAGTTCCTCTGGATATTACTTATCCTCAAAACATTCCCATATCAACCACATTTAAATGAAACGCCTTTAACCCACATGCTAAGGTTCTGGTTGGTGGCTTTTCATTGTAAAAAATACTTAACATTGCATCATATAGATATTTGTTGTCCTAATTTTATGAAAACTATTGCAAGTTTTTTCAAAATAATAATGTTTCAGATGATAAATGCTACTTCTGTTTATAGAACACCTGAAATGGTTAAAGCACATTTTAAAGATAAAAGTAATCGTGGATTATCTTGTTCTTTACTCTGGGTTGGCAATTAATCCAGAATGGTCAGGTCAAAATTCACATTGTATATTCTAGTAACTTTACTTAAGGCCTGTTTATACCAAAGACGATAACTGTAAAGTTTAAATGATCATTTTAATTATCAAAATAGGATATTTTTGGGATCAGTTTTTCACCCCCCAGCAGATTAACAATACAAAACACTGACAGCCAATCAGAATCCACCGGACTTGAGCATTTAAAGATCTTGAGCATTTAAAGTGGCAGATGACAAAATGACAACATGTGCTTATGATGATTGAACATTATTGTGTGTTGGTGTAGACGCTGATAAAGTTATTACTATAGTCATCGTTCTTGGTGTGAACGGGCCTTTACCTTGGGGTAAGGACTCTTCTAAGCCACTTTTCACACTTAGCATCGCTTTTAACCCTGGTTTATTAAGCAAGGTGAAGCAGTGCTAACCCTGAACTGTGGTGCCAAGTGTGAAACAATGCCGTGCTCAAATATTGCAGCGAGCTGTTTAGCAACAGACAACTGAACATGAAGTGTCTGAGTGATTAACCCATTAAATACACATTAGTGGTTATGTTCAGCATCTAAAGGGTGAAAACAGAGGTTGACAGCAAACGCCTTAAGCACGGAATTGAAGAGACAGTGCTATTTATTAGCAAATTAATGTGACGATAATGGGCAAGCTGTTAATGATGGTGTTTACAGGTACATCAGTTTTCAATTATACTGTGTAAGTCTTTAAAATGTTAGTAAATAAAAGTAAACAAATAAAAAGACATGATCACACAGAATTAGCTTTGTTTGGACATATCTGACAAATATAAACAAATGTTCAGTTATGAATAAACAGAATTATATAACTACATATTTCAGCAGTTTTGTTCAGATTTCAAGAAACCAGAATATTGGTTCAATCTGATTATGGAAACCATGACGTTTAAATATTCAGAATATGTACTCAATGTTCACTTTATATTGACTAATATCAGAATATGCTTGTAATGGCTCCACAAAGTCTTGACGAACAGTTTCAAAAATGATTAAATACTAACTCAAAGCACCATTTGAACAGTTCGAAACATGGAACAAGATTATGTTTAAAATAAACCTGGATTCGAAATATCAAGCATATTGCATTATGTTATCGGGGCCAAATCGACCCCAAACAGAAACTAAGTGACTCTACAGCAGATAATCAAGTTTCTGAAAGTGCATGGCCACTTAAAGCAACATCTGTATGTGTTGTAGTAATTAGGTCAGAGGACAATTGTTTACAGTTTTGAAGTGAACATAATTTCAAAATCCCTGGTCCACAGTAGCCTAGCGCAGGGGTCTAACACTTAAGCAGTCCGTCTAGAGAGAACACGAGGCTTTGATTTATCTGCCTGATGAGTTTCCACATCATCTGTGGTTTACTATTAGCTTTTCAGAACAGTGTAAAATGATGCATGACATTTTGAGTGCAGCCGCAGACCCGTAATCACAGACGTGGGTTAAAGCGGCGCGCCACGGAAACCATGAGGACAGCACCGGGTCCCAGCGCGCTCAAGCCGCAGTAACGACCCCCCGCCTCCGGACACGTTTCGCACCCGCCCGCTGCAGACTGAGCTACTGGAGAAACCCGCCACAAAGCCTGCAAGAGCCCTGCTACTGGCGCTTCAAACGCGCCAGATGATCCGACAGGAATGTCACGAATCAGATCACAGTGACACTGGAAACGTTTAAAAGCGAACTTAAATTGGACGTAAACCAACGCAATCACAACCTGCTGCGAAGTGCATGGAGCCTTTTCTTCCAGGCTTAATTTCTTATACAGAAATCGTGTTGAAACTCAGGGAAATGAGATGATTTAAGGGTTAAATTGATGGAAACAAATGTTGTTAAAAACATATATTAAATAAGGAATATTAAATAAAATCCTCTCATCATGCAAAACGTACTGGATATACGTCTGGGGAAATTTCAACTTTCATAAACATATCCTAGCCTACCACGAAGAAATGCTTTGTAATATTTTGCTTATTTGAGTCCGTTAGGATTTATTCCAAATTATGATTTCGCATTAGCATTCATTTAGGAGTTTGGACCTATATATGAAACACGCATACATTTATTTCTTCATTAGTATTCGTATATCCGCAGCCGCCCAGTCCAGTCGCCTGATCTGATCTGTAAATCTCTTGGTTGTGATCAGCCCGACTCGAACCCGTGTCCCGACTTCTTCCCCCTGCGCCCGCAGCCAGTGGACACTTCGCGTGTCTCCATCCGATACAATGATGCGCAAAAGTCACAAACGTGCCCAAAAGTGTCACGTTACCTGCTCGCGGATCCGGTCTTCATTCTCTCCTCACTCGGGCGTCTGTCTCCGTTCTGCGTCCAGACTGTGAAAGAGCGAAGGAAACAATCACAAGATCCGCGGAGCTGCTTGGCGAACTTTTCCTGGTTTCTTCAGACTCGTCTCTGTTCTGTCACACACGCACGCACACACAGACACACACACACACACACACACACACACACACTCTCCCCTCGAGTAAGAGAGGGAGGGGTGTAGGTTTTTTCCCCTGTAGTTCACCCGACAACTTTTTTTGTCCTTGTGTAAAGCTGGTGTGACGCTGGACAGCTCGGGGGCCTGCAGGGGCCCCACAGACTCTCTCTCTCTCTCTCTGTCTGTCTCCATCTGTTTTTCTTCTCTTCCCCTCCCTCTCATAGCACTCCACTCCTCTCGCTGGTTTCTCCATGTCTTCTGTTCTCTCGGACGCACACCTGTACATCATGTACATCACTCTTCAGCAAAGACTGAATTCTGCTCAGCAGTGAGCGCCACATGAGTTCAGCATCACACAGATAACAGCTCTATTGATAGTTCATCATATTTACTTTCGATATCACCACATCGCGGAGACTAGGGTTAGTTTTCACTCTTTCATTACTGAAAATCCATTTCTGTACAAACATCTTAAGGCTGCATGGAACATTATTGGCTTTTCTGTCATTGCAGTCCAGGAAAACACATGCTGGAACACACTCTGACCTTCTGAGCAGTAAAGGGGCATGTTGTCATACCGTACGATGGAATAATGGAAGCTGCCGCAAAATATAAACAGTAAAATAATTATGAAAAATGCCAAATTTAAAAATGTCACACTAATTAAATATGAAATAATTGATAAACATTATACAATATTGAAATAATTTTTAAATTAACATTACATTCATATTTTATATTTAAATTAATATTAATATGTTTGTATTGTTTCAGCTACTATTTAAATTTAGCTGAAAAGATGATTAGGGTTAAAGGTTTCATTGTGACAAAATACCCCACAAATATTTAAGTATAAATTCACATTTATTTAGCATTTATTATAGGTGATAACTTCTCCCTGCCTCACCTGTGTTCACTTTTTTATTTAATAATATATATATATACCTCTTATAAGCATCTTGGTTTGACAACTAGCCCCGGTCTGCTTATTTGCCACCAACAGCCAAAGAGACAGTGGTGTGGAAACCATCCACATTACTTGTTTTATTATTTGGTAAATCCAGATTTTCAATGCGGTTTCATACTTTTGACCCCACTTTATAGATATGAAAAGTCTGAGGCTGCACTGAAATTTTTAGGACTCTATAAATAATGTCAACGAATGCTTGAAACAACACTCTCAATAAAGCTCAAGAGAGATCAGCATAATAACTCCTAATGTTTGGGGACATTTTTATTCGGACCTCAAAATGAACAGAGATATATATATATATATATCAACATAACTTCAATGAGAATAAATGACTTAATTAAAAAGAGTTGGCCAGTCTGATTGGGTCGCAGTTGCTCAGAAGTCTTTAAAAGGAGATCATAATCTTGAAAATGCACTGAAAATCATGGTGGCGTGAAAATGACAGCCTGTGTTTACTGTTAAGGGAGAGGTGGAGAGATTGTACACCACTGAGAAAGAGGCCCGTCAAGCATGTCAAGATACACAACTCATGACTGATGAATCCCACATGAAAACTCTATACACATTTACAAATCACTGATTCAAGGGCCACTGTGTGGTTTTGTCTGTAAGGACGTGCGACTTGAACAAAGTGCTGCGAGAGGTGAAAGGAAACTATATTAGAGCCATTCAAAGCCTGTGTACTTATCTAACAAACAAGATAGCATATCATAATCACACTGAGACGGCTGCGCTTCAGCGCTTAAACACTGGATAAATGTTCATGCCTGTTTCTGTGGGTGTTTTCTGACCTATTTTGGATTAAATCATAACCTCCAGATATAATGGCAAATCTGAGTAAAGCAGAGGGGAAAGTTGCTAGAGGAGCAAAATGAATACAGAGACGTTGAAAGCTGAACAAAATGCATGTTCAAAACATTATGCCAAAGATCTGAAACGTCTCAAATAATCTAGTAAGATTTTCTGATTATTATCGATGTGGAAAATGGTTGTGCTGCTTCATATTTTTGTGGAAACCGATTTTATTTCAATGAATCGTTTGAAATAGAAATCTTTTGTAACACTATAAATGTCTTTGCTGTAACTTTTGATCAATTTAATGCATCCTTGATGAATAAAAGCATTCATTTCTTTCAAAAAGAAAAAAGTCGACAGAGATGTATTGCCTTTAATAGCATAGGCTGTGATATTCCAACATGCATTATCAGTGTTCTTGCATGTACTTGTGTGTCAGTATCTGTAATTAATATTAGATTGGTTTGATCTCACCGTAGCCCAGCGAGACCCTTACGTGACCCTAAAACAGCCTGACTGAGAGTTCTGCTGACATGAACCCATCCTCATATTACAGAAGACAAAACATCTGAAATATTTGCTTTTTAACCATGAAATCAGAATTAGAGTGTTGCATCTTAGTTTCGAACTCATATATTTTCTAGTGCCCTCTTAAAAGATGACTAAATCCACTTACAGCGGATAGCAAGTAGCAAATCAAGTTAAAGCTAAAGACGATCCTATGTGAAAAAAGGACACTTTAGCATACTTTTAAAAAGAGTATTTATTATAGTAATAATATATTGTAAAAGTGCAAACTGAATGTTTTTGGAAATTTTATTGCGTGTTGACTGAAGTTAAATAAAAATGTACCATAATTGAAGTTTATATTAAATGCAATTAGTTGAACGTTAGAGTGCTTTTTTGTACCATTTAAGACTCAAGTACATCTTTATATGTAATTTCATAATTCTATTCATAGAAATATTGTTGTGTACTGACAAGCATTCATGATAAACTAAAATATAGTTTAATGTCATTTCTATTCAAACTTGTATGTCATGTCTAGCTTTAACTTGATTTGCTACTTGCTATCCGCTGTAAGTGGATTTAGTCATCTTTTAAGAGGGCACTAGAAAAAAGATGAGTTCGAAACTAAGATGTAACACTCTAATTCTGATTTCATGGTTAAAAAGCAAAATGTATTGTAATGATGAATTTTTAAAATGTTAATTTTGACAGTAATATCAAATAAGATCTTATAATCTTTACAAGGTACTTTACATGTGCTTTAGTATTAGTCTTTAAGTGCACTTAAATGGTCTTTTATTTCAGTAATGCAAGTACAGTTGTTTAAAAATAAACTTTTAAGTTTTAAGTACACTACAAGTGCACATTCATTACAATTAAGCACACTTATATTTAACAAAGTATTGGTTATATATATATAAAAAAAGGGGACTACTGCTGGGATGCGTCATACGTGAGTTACACGCCCAGGTTCAAGTTTATCACATCTAAACATGAACAATGATAACATCTCACCCTAGTAAACATCACTAAAAAGCAGAGGGAATAAAATGTGCTAAGTTCAGGGCGCTAAAGGACTCAAGGGAGGAAAGAAGATAAAGATAGAGATGAAAAAACTTTGCAGTAAAACATCCACATTCAGCAAACAGAAAAAGAGAGGGAGAGACTGAGACAGAATGATTGGTTTGGGTCAGATGGAGTCAATATTTGCCTCATTCCAGTGATATTACGGCTGTGGAGATCAAAGAACTGACTGTGTGCTCTTGCGTCTGTGTAAAACGAGTGAAAGAACGAAGGAAACACTAGATGCACAAAAAGACAAGATGCACAAGGGGCCCGTTAAGGGGACATCCACCGTGGCCAGCGGCCTGCAGGGTCACCGAGGCCAGGAGGGACGGATGTTAATCGGCTGACAAAGATGTCCAGTGATGCAATTTCAATTATCAGGACAAAAAGAGGGTCACCCTATGCACATGGGCACATAATAAACAAACAGACTGTGTCTGGTCACCCGTCTGACCACACGGTCGACAAGCAACCTAAAGCAGATCAAATCTACAGCAAAGGCCTGATGCTGCGGTCCACCGGAGAGCGGAGTCTCATAATTGAGTTTCCATCTGATTCTCATGTGTCTGAGAGCTTCTGGCATGGACCCGAGTCTGTCTGATGGCAGTGTTTTGCTTGAAGGTGCCTGAATACTAAAGAAAGCTCGAACCGAGCAAAGAATAAATAATAATGAGTTTAGAAGATGTGGATAGAGATGTGAATTTAAATTCAACAAGAATAAAGTCAGCTGGATTCAGAAGTTTTTGTAGTGAATGTGCACTAGTTTTATATTTCAATATATATATACTTGCAGATTTAAAATAATGTACTAAAGTGCAACTTTTTTTTCAAATATGTAATTACAAAATATTTGAAAATCAAGTTTCAACAGAAAAGACTGTTGCTCAGAAATGCTTGTTAGTACGTTCAGCAGTAACTATTTAACCACATTTCAAAGACAATAGAAGTAATTCTGAAATTACATATAAAGATGTGCTTAAGTCCTACTCAAGTGAGTCAAAAAAGCACTCTAGCTAACTGCATTTTATATTAATATAAACAATCACACGTTTTCATTTAATTGTAATTCACATGCAATTAAGTTTCTGAAAACATTATATTCAGTTTGCACTTAAGTATATTATTTCCATACCATACACTTTTTAAACGCATGCTAAAGTGTACTTCTTTTTCACAAAAGGGGTGCTTACGTCAGGCATTGAAATATTCTCAACTTTTACTTCATTTCTGGAAACCTTTGCATTTCCCCTTGTGATGCACATGCCTTATTATAATGAATGGCTATTTGAATAGCTTTCAAATAGCCCTTGTTTAATTCAGTGAGAATGTGCTTTACTTTTGTTAGTTTGATCAAAAAATAAGTAAAGAAACTACAGCTGTCAACTCCACCGTTGTGAAAAGAAAGTGCTTAATTGTATTGAATGTGCACTTATAGTGTACTTTAAATATTAAAAGTATGTCTCAAAAACTGTAATTGCAGGTAATATAATATTAATGAAATAAAGACCACTTAAGTGCACTTCAAGAGAGACACTTTCTAACCAGTTAAGTAAACTTGCAGTGCACATTGTAATGATGCCAAATTAAAATGTGTATTTTAAGGTACATTTGAAATGTTTGAATAATATATTGTGCTTTAAAGAAGTACACTTATTTTGCTGTGTTGACTAACATACTAAAGCACATGTAAAGTACTTTTAATTTTTTTAGTACATTTAAAGTTAATGTATTTTAAATGCACAAAACTGCAACTTC